ATATATATATATATTTTTTTTTTATGTGTGCTTATGTGAGTTGGATAGTCTTATTAGTTAATGATGATATTATTTGGATTTTCTTGTGATTCAAAAATTGTGACTAGTTAGTGCTATTTTGGATAGTTCATTACTTATCTAGCAGTATTTGAATATTTTGAGTACAATGCTCAAGATAATCATCATCATGAATTGTTTGGGTTGGTTACTTTGATAGAAGAAATTGTATGAACTTTGAATGTAGTTTGTTAAAACCAAATCAAACTAAACAATGAAATCACTAAGCCAATTGAAAGAATACTTTGATAGTTTGTGATATTAGAAATTACTATGATAGTTGTTGATTTCATACTTGTTGAATATTTGTGGAAGTGTTTTTGGATAACGCATGAAACCTATGTAAGAACCATAAATTCAAAGTTTAATCCCAGAAAACTACATTGCGTTAGTCATGGTAAGAGGAAAAATGTCATATCTTCATGAGCGAAAGCTATCATATAAAATATCTCAAAGAGAACACCAAAGATATATCCCAAAGATGAAAATCAAAATAGGGACAAAGGTTTGTGCATAAAATAGAAGAAGCATAACAAATATGGTAAAGTAAATGCATGAAACAGAAAACAAATTATAAACTTGATTAAGGCTTAGACACTTGTGGGATCTAAATTTCTAGTGAGGGTTATTAAACTAGTTGAACATTGGATGTTAAGACAATCAAATATAGAGAAAATCATCATATATTGAACTTGAGCAAGTATTGTGAAATAAACCCTAAAAAAATGCAAAGATTGAAGAACAAGTTTTGGGTGTATATCTTACGAGTGAAAATGAAATAATTGACTATTGAGGGTTAAGATATAACTAGTTTAGAAGTTTCAGTGATTGAATTGATAGTGCACACATAAACATATCAATCGAAAACTGAATATGCTAAAAATTGGTTTTTGTAGCGTAAATTAGGAGTCCTTATAAATTATTCAAGTAATTTCAAAGCGTACGACAATATGATAAGCCATCTAATGACTTTTAAATAATTTTGTTTGAGGAAAATAAATATTCAAGTTTGGGAATATTTGATAAGTGTAATTTCACACTTATTATTACCATCAAAAGTAGACGTTTGAGAGTGCTTTTATCAAATTTTTACTTATCTTTGTTTGTACATTGTTCAAGGAACAGCTCGATGTTGGATGGATTATTGAGAAAGGAGTGGAAATCAAATGATAATGAATAAAAAGGAACAATTTATTGAAGATGGGAACAAATGTGTAGAGACTTGAAAGGTTAATGATCTACGATGCAAATAGGAAAGGACTCGTACTGACTCAATAAGGAAATTCAAGGACTAAATTACATTAGAAGCAAAAGAATATTCATTTGCGATCAAATTAAAATAAGCAACTCCAAGATGATAACCAAGGGCGAACGCAGATAATTAAAATTAAGGGGGCACAATCGAACTTGTAAAAAAGTTGAGAGAAATTTTACAATCGAAAATTTACGTCCAAAAAAATCATACCCCATGTAATTTTACATCCGAAAATTTACATGGGATATGACTTTTTCGGATGTAAAATATCGAAAAATTTTGATGTCATATTCCATAT